GTCAAGACAGAAGCTAACAATGTAGCTAAGTCATAGAGGAGGCTAACTACACAGCTAAAGTCAAGACAGAAGCTAACAATGCAGCTAAAGTCATAGAAAAACAACTAATTACACAGCCCAAGTCATAAAAGAAGCCGACAATGTGACTAAGCCATAGAGGAAGCTAGCTGCACGGCTTAAGCTGTAGAAAAACAGCTAACAACACAGCAAATGTTATAATAGGCAGCTAAAAACACTGCTAAAGTTCTAGAAAGATAGCTAGCTACACTGGTCAAGTCATAGAAAAACTGCTAACTATGCAGCTTAAGTCACAGAAGAAGCTATCAACACAGCTAAAACTAACAGCACAGCTAATGTCATAAACAGACTGCTAGCCTAGCAGTTACCTCTAAATGAAAAATGTCCCTATATATGTAAATACATGTGTATGTGCTTTTCACACATTATGACACACACACAACTGTAGGCACATGCAAATGCATTAACACACGTCCATGCATGTATGATCAGCACATGCATGTGTGTTGAAGTAATGAGCCCATGCATTATTTTAAAGTCACACCTGGACACTTTTCACATTAACGATTGACTGTAGGAATGGATATTCACAATTTGAAGTGTCAGTGGATAAAAATCCCGCCAAGTGCAGCTTTAAAAACCACCACAATGAAGAAACAGCCACCAACAACCAGCACAGAAAGTGATTAGAGACACCTACCTTCACTAAATCATTGCTGCAGAGCAAAGCTACAGAATATAAGGAAAGCTGGTACAATTAGGCCATTTTTTGAGGGTTATTTCAGAAAGTGTGGCACAGAAACGATAGTTAGCACTCATACGTATTGGTTCCGTTGGGCTCCATCCACTCTGCAAACTTGTATGTAGCCATCTCTATACATTCTGGGAGTCCATTGGCACAGGCCAACATGACGGCGTTGATCTGGTTGTGCCTTGGGAGGAAGGACAGTTTATTTTAGATAATAAGATAAGATAAGATGTAAGAGAGGAGACGACAAGAAAGACTGAGAGGAAAATCCACTATGATGGATGAATAAATAAATGCAGCATGGCTCAGAAACAGTGTTGTTGGACGATACATCCAGCTGATGGTGGAACATCTTTCTACAGCTCAAGAGCATCTACAGTATGAGAGAGACACAAAACGACAAAAACGAGATAGAAAATCACACAAAAACAACCCACTTCAGGGTTTTTCTGTTTCCATAGAGGACTTCATGTTGCAGTGAAACATGAGACAGAAGCAGAAAACTTACATGTAAACAATCTTTTCAACATCACTGTCATAACACGTCTCAGCGGTTTGTTCAGCGTGTAGCATTTAAATTCTTGCGCAATGTGTAATATTTCATTATTTCATCGTTGTGTCACTAATTATCTCAGTTTTACTTTATTCTGTTCAGTCTTATTTTAGTGACGTATTTTATTTCAGCAGCGTATCGTGCTTATATTTTGTTGTTTTCTACGTTTAGGCTTATTGGATTTCTTGTCGGATGATGGCGTTCTTTACACTTTTTACATCGCACTTCAATGAATTGTCGATATGAACCGATTGGCGCTGCTTCAATCATTAATATTCACAATAAATTAGACGTAACTGGTTCTTGTGTGCTGGTATTTGAATTCGCCTTCAGGTACAAACATCTGCCGCTCACGTCGACTTGGTCAAACGTCACCAAATGGAGGCTCTCTGAAGGCTAATTACACTCCAGAACACGTCTGCTCACGTTTGTCCTGGACTGTGAATTTGCGAAGCCGTAAACTGAAGCACATGTTAAACCTGTAGACGATTAACCAGGAAGGAAAACTGCTGCAACAGTAAAACCCTGCTACAGCCGACGGATCGGGGAAGTCACGTCCACTTACTGCTCAGAGTGACCCACGGGGACGGAGGAGTTCTCGGTGTCGGTCCTGTAGAAGTCGTAGAGCCCCCTCACCTGCTCCCTCAGGTACGCCTGCAGAAGGATTTACACAACAGTTTGGGAGTCGTCACATCTGTAGAACGAGTTCACTGCACATCTGTTGGTGCTCTCAATCACAGCAGAGCATGAGCACAGGCGGGAGACCACAGTTGTTCTGTCAGATCCACCTCCTCCGTCCACCACAGCTCATTTCAGCGTAACAAAGCGATCATCAGCAGGCGTTCGTACCTGCATGGGTCCGTAAACCTCGGAGCGGTCAAACATGAGCACGAAGTACTCGAGGTTCCTGAGCGCCGACTCCCAGGGAAGAAACTCTGTCTCATGGCGAAGGAACCGGGTTGAGTTCAGCGCCAGAGTCACGTCGACGAGTTTGGCCCTGCAGAGACCAGAGGTTAGAACCTGGTAGGATCGGAGGCGGCAACAGAGCGGGTCGGAGTCAGTACCTGGCCAGGTTGAAGGCGTCGTCGACCAGCTGGCCGCGGTTCATCAGTGGGATCAGCTGGAGGAGAAAAAAAGGAACGTTTCAGGCTGGAAATGTGACGACTTCTACTGAACGTCTTCAGATCCGCAAAATCAACGCTGTGGCCGTCGGAGCGAATATGGCTTCAGATGGAAAAAATATGAATCGGTTATCACACTGAATTTATAAGTCTGAAGTTGGTGATTATGCCTGAATCTGAGCCTGTTACCTCTGAGTCTCTCACAGTTTCAAGTTTCCACATAATCCACAGTAGAGGGCGGACTGATGGGAAACTTTACAGACGCTAGCGCTTCTATTTCGGCTCCAAAATACAAGAAAAGACGAGAGATGCTAGCTGTTACTTAGGGATGCTAGTTTATTGTATTATAATTGTTAGCCTAGGCATTCAAGTTGCTTGTTTTACGGTTGCTGGTTATTAGTTATATGTTAGCCCAGAGATTCTTGGTCATTAGACTATTAATGCTAGTTGCTCGGTTAACAACTAACATCCCTCGTCTAGGGATTGTTGGACACGAGACCGGGGATGCTAGTTGTTAGCTTAACAACTAGTGTTAATAGTCTAGGGAATCTTGGTCACTAGACTGGGGATGCTAGTTGTTAGCCTTGGGATGCTAATTGTTAGTCTAGGGATTTTAGTCACTTGTTTAGGGTTGTTACTTGTTAGCATAGGGATGCTACATGTAAACCCAGGGATTTTTTGTTGCTAGACTGGGGAATCTAGTTGTTAGTCTAACAACTAGTTATTAGTTGTTAGCCTA